ACACCTCCTCCTCTCTCTCTCTCTCCCCCCCCCCGTCCCTCTGTCCCTGCAAAGAAGTTCGTAAAAGTGGAGGCGAATTCCAATTTCTTGCTACGACGACTCGAATACCCCGACAATTTCCACGGCCAAATTGAGTTTGTTACAGGAGCGCGAAAATGGGGGGAAAATTGTCGAAACTGTTGGAGGGCGTGGACGTAAGAAAGTCGTCGTCTCGTTAGCCGATAATAGCAGGCATCGGGAACGTGCGAACGAGGCTTGGGGGCGCGTGATCGTGTCTGATCCCCTGCGCTTCTCTCACGAGCGAGCTGCCTCGATCCCGCGGTTCGAAACCGAGCATTACCGAGCATTACCGCGGCGCGCAGATCGTTTACTCGAATGCGCCGCCAGGCCCGATTAATACACACGGCTTCCCTTTGCGGAATGGATAGAGACGCGGTTAGGTTCTCGCGCCGATTTACATATCGTCGGCCCACTTGTCTCCAGGCGTGCACGGCCTCGAATTACCGCGAAAATCGGGGGGACGCCGCTACTTCCCCAGATACCTCGATAACACGCACGCGGGTTACGTATACTGCTTGGAAAGAAGTTGGAAGGAGGGCCTAAGTCTTCGCTTCAGACGCTTCGTTTACGATCCTGACACGTTGGTACGCGATAGTAGAAGTAGATAGAGCAGTGTTAACCCTTTCGAGCGATTACAGTCGATCTGCATAAGATGCCGCGTATCGAGTAATACGTTTCTTTGGAAACGTAGTAGCATCGACGCTTCGTTTTTATCGTCAATTTTCTTTCTCGATAAACATCCTCGAAGGAACTCGAATTGCGAGGCGGTTTTGGTGACGATCTTTCTCGAGCATTTTTGCTACGGCTAAGATGGTAAAAATTGTTTTCATCTGCGAAGTTGAGATGATTTATTTATCCACCTTATTCGTTACAATTATTATCTTATCATCGAATAATTACATTTATAAACTAAATCTATCGTAATTGCAAATCGTAATTGGCCTTATTAGACGAGAAATGAAAAATACGTTAGAATTCTCTCGATTCCGCGCTAACGAATAATCGAGGCTTAAATTAAACAGAGGCCTTGGATCGGTATGCACTCGACGAATGCCACGATAGAGACAAAAGTGAAAATAGTTTTCTTCCATCACGTGTCGCGAGATGTTTGCGATTGAGAAAGAAAGAAGACGGGAGTTAATATAGGAAAGATCGTTTTCGTTCGAGAGGTAACGTCTGCTCGATACGATCGAATATATATATATAGGGAACGAGCCTATTAGAGTACGTAATTCGGTCGTAAAGAAGCCGCGATATCGGGGTCAGAATGGGGAAGGAAGGCCTATGGCGATGGCTCGAAATGGGAAATAGACTTTTCACCGCGAACGTTGCTCGGCCGTTAACCGGATCGTACGTTGCGAGCGTAACTGCCCGCCTCCGATCTTCCTCCCTTCTCCTGCAACCGGTTGAGCGGATGTGTATCCCGGGGAGGAGGGGGATCGAAGAGGAATCGTCGATCGATTTTATCCCCATTAAATACGCGAATTTACGCCTCGCGTTCCACGGCCGATCGGTGTTTTTATCGGTCGTGAAAACGGTTTCAACAACGCGTGGCCAATAATTTTTTTTTCTTTTTTTCTTTTTGCTCGTCCCTCTGAGTAAGAAGGAACTGCTCGAAGTGTCCTCGAGTATCCTCCAGTGTGAGGAGGATAATTTTTTTTTTTTCGCGCGGAATCGAGACGATAAAACGGTACACGGAGGATTACGAGAGAGAGAGAGAGAGAGACTCCTCGATTATTATTCGAAGCATCGATCAGCGTTTATAGAATGGTCGGCTGGTATCGAAACGGCCGTAAACCTCCGGTACCTTACTCACCTGCTGCGTTAGTGGCTGCCTGTTGCCTTAACGACGCTCCGCGGACAGGTAGTGAACGAGAGTAACCGTTAAACTATCGAGTTTATCGCGCGGAAGATCGTAAAATCTGGCACGGGGTATCCTGAACGGGCTCCCGATTTTCAACTCCACTCCCCCGACACGAGGATGAATCATAGCCGTAGAGGCTATGAAATTTGCCCGGGATCCCTTTTCTTCCTTCCTTCCTTTTTTTTTTTTTTTTTATCATTGTTCTCCGGTGGCGCGGAGATAAAACGATAACCGCGCTCGAATTTCTCGTCCAGAAGAAGAAGAAGAAGAAGAAGAAGTTGTCTCCCCTCGACCATCTCTTTATTTCTTCGACCCGGCTTCCCGACTCGGCGTCGTCGCGAAATTTCCTCGTGAATTCGTTCGTGAGAAAGTGGACGGGACGGGATACAGAAGGGTACAGCTGCGGACAAGCCGCGGTTGGTCCGAGATTTATCGGCGAGGATTTGTAAACTCGTGCGTAGTAGCTTGGAACCGATTATCCGAGAGAGAAGCGAATGGAATCCTTCCTCGGACCCTTCGTGTCCTTTCTTCCTCTTATCCCGCGCGTACTTACTCTTTCTCCTCGTATTATCCTCGACTCCCACGCCCGATCAACGATGAAAACTTTCTTCCAAGCTTGGGATAATTAACGGGACGAACAACCGGCCAACGATTTCTTGTCCATCCTCTCGTTTCTTTCGATCGAGCCAGATGGCCGCTCTCTTTCTCGGCCGTATCGCGCGGTGTATCGACCACTTAAACGGGCTGATTGCGGGGAGGAGTTGTGACTTCTGCGAATCCAGCCTCGAAAGAAGGCTCGAGGACGATTTCTTGCAAGATTCCAAGAATTGGAATAGCTCGAGTGGGCAAAAATGCGGGCGTGTCAAGTGTCCAATATCCGTGTCAACTCGCGCATTGATCTTCGAAACGAGCACTCCTCGGATCGGAAATCGTTTTCTTCCCCTCGAGGGAAGATGGGACGATTGCATTAATCTCTTCGAAGCGTTGAACACGGTTGAAAACATAGAAGAAGATTTTAAAATTATTTTAACCTGGAGGAGCGCACATTTATAGGAAGGTAATTAGCACGAGTGCCGATGACACGACGAGGAACGACGAGGAACGAGGCCTCAGCGTTTTGCCGGCGATCAAAGCGGTGCGCTGCAATTGTTTGCCTCCTCCATTGCAGCACAACGTTGGATTGGCTCGAAATTTATTTGTGCCCTTGTTTTCGAGGGATGCGACGCGCAAAGAAGGATCGGAGACGTTCGTCGATAATTTGCTCGGCCTCTAAGCATCCCGGGCGTAATTTAACTCGGGGAGGAGCGGCGGCAGCTGTGCCCCGAAGGTGGCGGGCCGCAGAGTCACGATAAACTCTCATAATTCACCGAGGCGATATCCTGGCAGCGTATAAAGCCGTCGGGGAAATTTCGTATTGAATCGGAGAATGCCCGTTTCGTAACATTCGTGTACGATATATATATATATACACGCGGCTATATACGATTATTCATGCTCGACCATTGTACGTGCTCGACGCGGGATCTATCGCGCGCGTCGTAATACTCGTCGGGACGGACACAACAGATGGAAATTTTGATACACGGCGCGCAGCCAGAGTAATGAGTTCCATGCGCGTGAAATTCCTTTGAAGATGGAGGAAGAAGAAGAAGAAGAAGAAGAAGAAAAATTGGCGGAAAAGAAAGTTGTCGATGCGCGCGCCATATCTCGGAGGAAAGAAGAAGCTACAAATTTTATTTTTCTTTTTTTTTCCCCCCCACCTTTATTTAAATCGTTCACACTTAACGCAACGCAAAAATGGATGACACGGTTGATTGCACGGATGAGAGCGATCGTTGTGGAGGGGTGTAATGATCCGGCGATGGATCGATCCGTATTGTTGTCGGTTTCCTAATTGCGAACTGTTTCAACGTGGAACAGGCGCGACGCGGCATTGGCGATGGTCGGTGACGGTGGTGATGGCGGCGGCGGCCGCACAATAGATTCGGTTTGATGCATTGCCGGGGCGCAGGAGACCGTTAATTTCGTGCCCTCCTGGGCCACGTCGCTCCTACGCCGACCATCCGATTGCCCTTCTGCCCGTCGTTCGCGTTAATAACTCATCCAAGTAAATAACAGTGTTTGCCAAGATGGACCTCGGCAGACCTTCCCCTCCTAGCCAACCTCCAGTTTGTCACCACCGAGATTCCAAACCATCGATCGATTTCTCCCCGGTTTGTCTCGTTAATAATCTCCTCCCCGCCATCTCGATTGTTACGAATTTAACCAATATAAACCCGCTATCGCGATCCCGAATCGAAGACGAACGATCGATGGTTGGAAAATCGAACGAACGTACGTTTCGGATGACGAAAAGTTGGGCGAGTCGAAGGAAGGGTTCGAACGTTGCATTTCGTAATTTAACCGCGTTTGGAGATGACGCGCCCAGAGAAATTATAATCGTGGCGTGGAACAGAGGTGAAACTGATAATAAGTTTACGTCTCGCGTTTATGTGTTTTTTTTGTTAATGTTAGCTCGGAAAGAGAAACGTATGCTAGGATCGTTCGTTGATGGGATCGACGAGATCGATCCCACGAACGTTGGACGGAAGACGCTGACGCTCGTGTTGTTCGATTTGTTGCAGAAACAATGCGAACGTGGACGCCCCGGCCGCGGTACCCACTCAGAAGAAAGAGCCGCACGAGAACATCGCCCGGATAGCGAAGCGGTATCTCGACGATAACATGCAGCAGGCGTGGATCAATCCTCGTCTAATATCGATGGTGAGTGAATATAAATGCGGTGATTACACGGTACGTTAGACGATGATACCGGTGCCTAACGTTCTCACGTTCCAATCCTGGCAACGATCCATTATCCCTCCTCCCTCCTCGACGCACGCGCTCGCCTGTAATTTCAACCGGACAACAAATTAGTCCCTCCACGAACGTCGACAAGTTTTTGCGATAATCTCGCTTTGCGCCGACCAGGCGAGGGCATTTAATCGACCCCGTCGATCGGGATCGATCCGCCTTTCGCGTTTCAATTTCGAGCGAAAAACTTTACCGATCTCGAACAACCTTTCCTCTCCACGCTTAGTCCTCCTCGTTTCTCCTCCGCTCTCCTTCTAATTTAACGTTCGAATTCGAATCGCTGCTTTGCTCCAACCACTAATTTAACTCGCGCGCGTGTTGAAACGCGCTGGCTCCTTACTTATCCATCCATCCACGTTCCGTTGAACAACTCGCCTCGATCCCGGGAAAGGAAAGCGTCGAAATTGGAAAATTTGATTTGGGGAGGAGCGGGCAGTTATTTATTATATACGGCCGCGCTAGAATTTTCATCGGAACGGTTATTGAAATTCCGCACCCGTCCCACTTTGCACTGCGATGTATATATATATATATATATTCGGATGCAGCAACAGAGGCCCGGTGTTTATATATCGGCGTTCACGCTGGACTTGGCCGCGCGGACAACAACAACAAGTAGAACGCTAGAGCGGACGAGTCATTAAAGCGAGCCAATAACAAACTCGTGATCCGCATAACCCTTCGTTATGTCCACACCGGTTATTAGCCCATGCCTAGGCGGCGAATCATCGGTGTTGCGCCCGATCCAACTCGATCGTTTCGTAATCCGAACTCGTTATTCTCTCTCTCTCTCTCTCTCCTCCCCCTCCCCTCGATCTTCTTCTCCGTCCTTTTATACCTTTTCCTCGCGTTCCAACTTACGTAACCTATCCTCGATATATAATTCGACCCGTGCACCTGCGTGCAACTCGCACTGGCGTAATATATCGCGAGTGTCGATATCTCCTCCCCCCTCGAATTTTTTATTATTATTATTATTTTTTTTTTTCAATTACTTTTCAATCTTCCTCCCGTCGAGAGAAATTGGAGGAATTAAAAAAATTGGAAAATACGTTATTAAGTTAAAAGAGACGAGACGAGCGTATTTCGTGCGACGACAGGCCACGCGCCAAATAACGAACGTTGCAATTGTATCGTCGAATCGGTTAAAATCGGTGTGTGTGTGTGTGTGTGTGTGTGTGTGTGTGTGTGTGTGTGTGTGTGTGTGTGTGTGTGTGTGTGTGTGTGTGTATA